GAGATATGGCGACGCTCACCTGGAACACGTCTTTCGTGCGCAGCTCAAAGATCGCGTGCAACGCAGTAACGAAAACCTGCAGCAGTGGGCCCTTGAGGTGGAGAAGCTGGTTCGAAAAGCGTACGAGTCTGTACCTGCGCTTATTGTAGGGAACCTGGTGCAGACATTCATCGACGGCATCCGCGACCTTGAAGTCAGAGCTGCTGTGAGGCTCGGGCACCACGAGACGCTTAAGGACGCCTTGACCCATGCACTGGAGGTGGAAGCCGTGCGGCAGGATCATCGTTCCCACCGCGTCAGGGAGGTTGCAGCAGCTACAGTTCAGGACCGCAATAAAAGCTACAGCCCTAGGTGCTACAGCTGTGGAGAAAGGGGTCATCTTCGATCCAGCTGCCCTAAGCGAACTGTAGAAAGGGAAGGTGATCGATCTCGAGAAGGTAGTGCGGATAATAGCACCGCCCAGCAGCAGCAGGGAAACTGGCGGGTGCTGGCTGATGTTAAAAGAGCCCTAAGGATTTCGATCTCACAAACTCATGATGGGAACAGCCTAATCATCAAAGGCGAAGTCAACGGAACGCCATGTAAACTGACCATAGACACTGGAGCCTCTCGCACGGTTGTCAGTTCCCAACTTATAAGTCGGTTCCTTGGGGACTCCGCATACAACCGAGAACGCATTAATTTGGTGACAGCCACCGGTCAGCGCATACCCGTCCGTGGAGAGAAGGAGATGGAGTTGAAGCTAGGCAACATGATCTACCTGCATAATGTCATCGTGGCTGATATAATGGACGACTGCATCCTGGGCCTAGACTTTATGAGGAAGAATTGTTGTGAGATCGACGTTAAGCAAGGTGTTTTGAAATGTGGACAAGAGGAACTTTTCGTGGAAGGGGCGTTACCAGGGAATGTGTACAGCCTTAAGAAGATTGTTCTTCCGCCGAGATCGGAAACGATTGTGCCGGTTAGACTTCCACGGAATCCTGGGCAAACTCTTCGTTGTGTACTCGTGGAAAGGGTAGACAATGACATTCCATGGAAAGTGGCTCGAACCTTGGTCAGAACCGCCGACATCTCAGGAGTACGTGTGCTGAACCTTTGTGATCAGGAAAAGATTATAGAAAAAGGCACATTGGTTGGTACTAGTGAGGAAGTGGATTGGTTGCGTCGGTGCGAATATCTATCGACTGGGACCCCCAGCAAGGCTGGACAAACTAGAGTGACCACACTTTTAGAAGACTGTCGCAGCGTTCTCTCCCCGAATGAAACGGTCAAAGCGAAGAAGTTGTTACTCAAGTACGCCAATGTTTTCTCGTCAAACGAAGCTGACATAGGAAAGACTGGCTTAGTTCAACACAAAATAAACACAGGACAAGAATTGCCTATTCGTCAGCGGCCAAGAAGATTGCCTGTAGCACGTGAAAGGAAGTGGAAACCATGATTGAAGGAATGGTGAAGGATGGTGTTATTGAACCTTCATCTAGTCCATGGTGTTCACCTGTGGTGCTGGTAAAGAAGAAGGACGGCAGCATGCGGTTTTGTGTTGACTACCGCCGCCTGAACGACGTTACGAAGAAGGACAGCTATCCCTTGCCAAGAATTGATGACACGCTGGACATGCTACCAGCTAAATGTGAATGAAAAGTGGCTACTGGCAGGTTGAAATTGACCCTAAGGACAAGGAGAAAACTGCATTCTCCACAGGAACGGGCCTGTGGCAATTTAAAGTCATGCCGTTTGGATTGTGCAATGCTCCAGCAACGTTTGAAAGGTTGATGGAGCTTGTACTTACCGGGCTAATTGGAGATGCCTGTCTCGTCGATTTGGATGACATCATCATCGTAGGCCGTACGTTTGAGGAACACCTTCAAAACCTGGAACGTGTGCTCACAAAGATCCAGAGTGACAAACTCAAGTTGAGTCCAAAGAAGTGCTCACTATTCAAACGACAAGTTAGTTTTTTGGGGTATGTAGTGTCGGAAGAAGGTATCCGCACGGATCCAGAGAAAATTGCTGCTGTCAAGGAGTGGCCGGTCCCAAAAGACAAGACACAGGTTAGAGCATTTTTGAGTTTGTGCTCTTATTATCGGCGATTTGTGAAGAACTTTGCAGATATAGCCAAACCTCTGCACAAGCTAACCGAGGAGAAGCGACAATTCTGCTGGGATGAAAGTTGCGATATTGCATTCCAGGAGCTCAAGAACCGTCTGTGCAAAACACTTATTTTGGGGTACCCTGATGCGGGCAAGGAATTCATAGTTGACCCAGACGCAAGTGATATAGGACTTGGCGGTGTATTGTCTCAACGGAATGGTGATCAAGAGATTGTGATAGCGTACTTCAGCAAGTCGTTGTCAAAGCCGGAAAGGAACTATTGTGTCACAAGACGGGAATTGCTTGCTGTGGTAAAGTCCTTGCAGCATTTTAGCAAATATCTTCTAGGGCGGAAATTCCACTTACGAACTGACCATGCTGCACTGAAATGGCTATTGCAGTTCAAAAATCCGGAAGGACAAGTTGCGAGATGGATTGAACTACTGCAGGAATACGACTTTGTGATCGAACATCGCAGCGGGAAATCTCATGGCAATGCAGATGCATTGTCAAGAAGACCTTCCCCTGAAGATTGCAAGCATTGTACTAGGCAAGAGGGTAAGGAAGTGGTATCTGTGAGAATGCTCAGGACAGACCAGCTCAGCAATGAGTGGAAGGACAGCCTACAACATGCACAGCAGGAAGATTCGGACATTAAGCCGATTCTGGAATGGATGAAGGCCAGTGCTCCTAAGCCCAAGTGGAGCGACGTCTCAGCAATGAGTTCGACCACGAAAAGCTATTGGGCCCAATGGGACAGCTTGCTGATTCAGGATAGAGTCCTGTGCCGTAAATGGGAAAATGGTCGGGGAGACAGTTGTCATTTGCAAATAGTTGTCCCTAAGGCTAAAGTACCGGATGTTCTACAGCTGTACCATAGTGGTTGTTCAGGAGGCCACCTGGGAGTTAAACGAACTCTACTGAAAATCCGAGAACGGTTTTACTGGGTCCACTGTCGTGACGATGTCGAGGACTGGTGCCGCAAATGTACAAGTTGTGCGGCTGTAAAGGGACCTCAAATTCGTAGTAGAGGCGCATTGAAATTGTACAATGTTGGTGCACCATGGGAGAGGATAGCCATTGACGTTGCGGGGCCGTTTCCGGAAAGTGAAAGTGGTAACAAGTATTTCATAGTTGTGATGGATTACTTCACTAAGTGGCCAGAAGTCTTCGCCATTCCAAATCAAGAAGCTCCAACAATTGCAGATAAACTAGTTCATGAAGTCTTCTGTCGTTTTGGAGTACCTTTATAGATTCACAGCGATCAAGGAAGGAATTTCGAGTCTCAAATATTCCAGAAAACTTGCAGAGTTATGGGTACTCATAAAACACGAACAACTTCTTACCACCCACAATCTGATGGAATGGTAGAACGATTTAATCAGACATTGGAAAGGTACCTGGCAAAAGTTGTGGAAAAACGGCAACGAGACTGGGACAGGCACATACAACCGTTTTTGTTGTCATATCGAAGCGCTGTTCACGAAAGTACGTCAGTGACGCCAGCTTTCGCAAACTTTGGGAGAGAATTACGGCTGCCTGCAGACCTGATCACCGGAATACCACCTGATGCCCCACGCAGTATAACCGATTATGCAAATGACTTGCGGATCAAAATGAATGACATTTATGAGCACGTCAGACAGACGGGCCAGCAAACGTCTGAGAAGATGAAAACACGGTATGACCGCAAAATAAACAACAAGGGGTTTGATGAAGGTTCACTAGTGTGGTTACACAATCCAGTTCGCAGCAAAGGGAAATCTCCTAAGCTTCAAGCTAAATGGGACGGACCGTAGCGGATTGTGACAAGGATCAATGATGTAACCTACCGGATACAGAAAGATAAGATTGTCCATGTGGATCGACTGGCGCGTTATTATGGGGCCAATAATGCTCGGGACGAGCATGTCTTAGGAGGGGGCAGTGTTGCGCGCCACTATTAATGTCTTGTACATGGCAACACTAGTTACACTAGTGCCCTCTAGTGTCGAGTAAATGAAAGCATTGCGCGCCACTATTAATGTCTTGTACATGGCAACACTAGTTACACTAGCGCCCTCTAGTGTCGAGTAGCAGAACTAGGAGAGTCAAGATCCTTCCAGAAATTTCGGGACCGATATGTACTCGAACATTCTAGATGTCGCTACAGTAGAAGATTCTGGAAACTATCTGAGGCCCTATATAAGGCCGGTATAGACCACGACCGAGGCAGTATTGAATTGGCGATACAACAGAATACGAGTACTTCGAAGCGAAATAACGGCGAACTGTGTTTTATTATTAGTGTGATTTTAGATTGTAATTAGTGTTGTGTAATTAAAGTGTCAATTTTGGTAATTCAATCGGCAGTTTTTAATTGTCTCGAACCCCAAGCTCGTAACAATATAATATTAATTCTTTCCAAAATCAAGAACTTAAGAAACCGGAATGTCTCATAATTTTTAAATGGCAGTAAACTATCCTTCTATAAATAATAATTGCTCTAGATTTATAATAATAATGTACTCCAGACCGAATTTCCATCACGACGGCGAGACTGCTGAAACAAGCCATCGGCGCAGTACAGGATTGTAGTGCACGAGTGTATGCGTAAGCACAGGTGCACTCTCTATTCCCTCACTCTCATAGTCCAATAGGATGGTAATCCGACACGTCCAGAGAGATTAGGAGCAGGACCACCGGCTTTACGTGCTTTCCGAGGCACGGGGGTGAAACACCGCCAAGTTTGAACTGAGAATTTCTTGACAGAAAACTCAATAACTGATTTAGACCTGACCCAGTATTCGAACTTGTGACCTCATGATCAGCAACCGTATTTCCGACCACTAGACCACTAGGCGTAATATAAATACATCTAGAGCAATAAATGTTTAAATTTTTTCAAAATAACAATTTTTTTACAGCTGGCAATCTTCAAGTACGGTCCGGTATCGGTCGGGATCGATGCTTCGCAAAGAAGTTTCAGTTACTACTCTCACGGAGTATACTTTGAACCAAAATGGTAAGGTTTTTGAAGAGATAAATTGTTATAACGCTTCACAATTCAATTATTTGTGCTCCAGGAGTGGCAGACTTGGCAATGGACGCGCTAGACGAAAGTTCATGGACCAAATTTTTTTTTATACGATAAGGGTAACAAATAAGCACACAGTCGACCTGATGGTAAGTGGTTGCTGTGGCCCATAGACATCTACATCTATCCTCGATTACGAATCAAAATGCAGATGCGTTGTCACCCGTGAGGACTAAGATACAGTGCCTCGTTTCCAGTAAAAAGGGTCTCCGGTTCTCTACACTCATCATACGAAACACAGCAGCATTAAGCTGCTATTTGACGCTGGTATTCTGTGAGAGCGTGGTCCTTCACCGGTCGAGCCAACTCATTCGTGCTACAACTATACTATTAATGTAGCTACAGCATGGCTCTACCACGTAAATTGGCAATGTTGTGAAGATGGGCCGAATTAAGAGTACTTTTAAGCGACGAGCATTTATGCGTAGGTATAAGTGGAAGTAGGGAGGCAGGAGTGTCAGGAGCGGGCCAATAAGCCGTCTCTACCTACCGTTACCATTGCCGCTGCAGCCTATTAAGTCCTCTGCTGAACATAGGCCTCTGCCATAGATTACCTTGTAGGGGGGATACGTGCCATAGTTGTCATGCTTGGCAAAAGTGTTGGCAACCGCAGTTTATTTTTATTTTTAGTCGCTATTAGGAAATGCTGCTGCCCATCTCCTGGTTTGCTTGCCTCTGTTGCCTCTTACGAAACCCACGGGATGATATGAAGTAGTGGTCATTCTTACACCGTCACGAATCAATTAAACAGGCCTTGGCGAGAGATCAGAATGCAAGCGTTCCATAAGAGGGCGACCAGAGCGAACTGCATTTTTGATATCAAGATTCCCAGACTGAAAACGCTTCAATCTACTTTGTGCTACTCTATTGACACTACATAAGGTACATAAACATCACAAATGAGTCGTATTTTTCCCTTTTTTGAAATAAAACTTCAGAATGTATCGAATTTCTTCGTTAGATTCACTCATTATGGCGGACAGAGAAACAATTGAAAAAGGGAACTTCTGTTAGCAATCTCTGCGATTTCTGCACAGGGAGGACGACTCACTGGTGCATGCCGTAGAGGAGAAAGCCGATCTGCTCGGCTCTCTCTTCGTGTCCAACTCGACCCTCGATAATAAACACTGCCCACCATCCCGCGATGTGAGTACTCCATGTAGGATGTGCTGTTTACACAGTGCTCGCTGCGCAAAGCACTCCTCTCCCTGGACATCACCAAGTCGAGTGGGCGTGATGGAGTCCCACCTAATGTGCTGAAGACGTGCGCTCCGGAGTTTGCACTGGTTTTAACGTGTCTTTTCCGGTACTCCTACTCCCTTGGCGTAGTCCTAAACTCATGAAAGACAGCATTTGGTGCATCCGATCCCTAAAAAAGGCAACCACTCAGATCCGTCCAACTACAGGCCTATCGCTATCACCTCCTTGTTTTCCAAAATAATGGAAACCGTTATTAACTGCCAGCTCTTGAGGTACCTTGAGAATCAGCAGCTGATAAGTGACCGCCAGTAGGGCTTCCATCGCGGTAGCTTAGCTGGTGATCTTCTAGGTCTAGGTGACCTAGAAGATCAGCTCATAGATGGGCGAAGGCAGTAGAGTCCAAGCGGGAGGCGTTAGTTTGGACATAGCGAAGGCCTTCGATAGGGTTTAGCACAAAGCGCTTCGTTCGAAGCTGCCTTCCTATGGGTTTCCTGGGAAATTATGCAATTGGATCACCAGTTTTCTTGCAGATCGGAACATCAAGGCTGTAGTAGACAGTGCATTAATGCTAGTGTTCCACAAGACTGCGTGCCATCACCAACGCTGTTTCTTCTGCATATCAATGATATGTTGCAAACTAGTAACATTTATTGCTATGCGGACGACAGCACTGGTGATACTTTATACACCGGCCGTATCAATATTTCCTGTGAAAACGTCACCGTGTACCGGAACAAACTCGTGTCTGAAGCCGAGACCTTGTTGAACAAAGTCTCGGACTGAGGCGGCTAAATCTAGTACAGTTCAATCCCCAGAAGACACAAGTTTGCGCTTTTACCGCTAAAAAGAACTCTTTTGTCGTATCTCCTCACTTTCAGGGCACTCCTCTTGTTGCCTCAGCTGGTATCGGAATCCTCGGTGTCGACATATCGAGTGACGTGCAGTTTCGTGGTCACTTGAAAGAAAAGGCCGAATAGGCCTCTAAAAAGCTTGGCGTGCTCTAAAGAGCGGGACAGTATTTCATGGCGGTACACCTCCTGCAACTTTACAAGACGCAGTTTATGCGTCACATGGAATACTGTTCCCATCTCTGGGCTGGGGCTCCCCAGTTCAAGCTTTTTCCATTAGATCGCATCCAGCGCCGAGCAGTTCAAATAGTCAGCGACCCAGCTCTTTCTGATTGGCTTGACTCACCGGCATTGCGAAGAGATGTTGCATCCTTTTGCGTATTTTATTACTTCTACCACGGGGAGCGTTCTGAGAAATTGTTCGGATTAATTCCAGCCGCTCAATTTCACTATCGCACATCGCGACAAAACTCGCGTTACCATCCATACCATCTGGATGATTGGCGATCCTCCACTGTGCGATTTACAAGAAGTTTTCTTCCTCGCCACAACTTCCTAGTAGAATCTATACCGAGCCATATACTCGTTTACCCCCTCACATATAAAAAAAAAACAAGAAAAAGAGAAATTAAACTTTAAATTTAGTACATTATACAACTTATATAATATAAACTTACTAACTTTTATATTATGTAAATTGTGTAATGTAATAAATTAATGGGTTTCATTTAATTTATAGTTTATTTTCTCTGCTTTTTAGAGCATTTACAGCATTTACAATAAATGTTTCTTACTATTCGATTATTTCAATACAGGAGCTTAGCTTTTTTACTATTATAAGTCAGTGCTTGGCTACTATCCCAGCTGATGGTACATGGTGCAGCCGAAGATGGTGAACTATTCATTCTTGCCTTGAAGACTACCCACTTTATAATCGAATGGAATGGCATATGCTGAAAAGTGATTCCATTACACTGATATACGCATTATGAACGACCAAGCAACCCGTTTGGCTCGAATGGGTGGTATGTCGAAAACAAAGGGGTGGGGATCAGCCGAGCGTCTGGTAGTCCGATGATGAAATGGAGGGGGAAGAATTAAGGTCCAGTGCATACTCGAAAATGTATCCTGTAAAACATCAAATGGCTGGCTTGTGTTCGAGACTGAACGATGAAAGCAGGAAGGGCAGAGAGTATTTATTTGTTACAAACTGTATATTTCACCCCCTCGGGGGTTGAATTTTCCAAAATCCTTCTTAGCGGGTGTCTACATCGAGAAAGAATTATATATTATGCTAAATTTCAAGTCGATCGGACGTATAGTTTTGGAGATCTCGTGATGAGTGCGTGAGTCGGTGGTGTTTCGCTTATGTTTATATCCATACAAATAAATAAAATTGTAGTGTCTGTTTGTAATGTTAAAATAACAGTTTTTTACTATATGCACATGAAAGTTTATAAGGTACTTATAACTAAAAAAAAAAAAAATTTTTTAAATTTTTGTCTGTCAGTCTGTTTGTCTGTTTGTTCCGGCTAATCTCCGAAATGGCTGGATCGATATTAACGGAACTTTCACTGACAGATGTTTAGAAAAAGTATTTGGCTTCCGTGCAAAAATATTAAACCCCATGAAATCCAATCATAATAAATTCACGCGGACGAAGTCGCAGGGAACAGCTAGTAATATGTATATATATATATATATATATATATATATATATATATATATTACTAGTATATACATAATAATATATATAGTACTATATTATTATTATTATTTTGTCCGTGTGTATGACTGATGACTGACTGAACTCCTTCTAAACGGCTGCACTAATTTTGATGAAATTTCGTGTGTGATTAAGTTGATTCAAGAATGGTTTAGATTGAATGCCTGAGGGCCAAGATGGAATGCCTCGTTTCAAGTAAAAAGAGTCTCCGGCTCCCTATACTCACCATACAAAACAGCAGCATTAAGTTGCTTTTGTACGCTGGTATTCTGTGAGAGCGTGGCCCTTCCCCGGTCGAGCCGACTCATTTGTGCTCCAACTATAATGTAGCTATAGTATGGCTCTGCTACGAGTATTGGATTTTATTATGCAGCAAATGAAGATTACATTTTATTATCTGTGAAAATTCCATGTCAATAATTTCATCCATTTGGGATTTTTTTAATTTTTATTAAATTTTGTATTTTAATATAGGGTCAGTACATTCTACAGTCGCAGATTAGATACTACTCGTTTACTACGCATAATCTGCATACTAATTTACTTTTTTTTACTCCAGCGGAAACAGTAATAGGGACCTGGACCACGAAGTCTTGGTGGTAGGGTACGGCACCCTCAACGGACAGAAGTACTGGCTCGTCAAGAACTCTTGGTCAAACCTGTGGGGCGACGATGGATACATACTCATGTCCTCCCGAGACAACAACTGCGGTGTGGAAACTGAACCCACCTACGTACTTATTTAGACTGTAGTTGCAATATGAATCTTATGTCATAAGTGTGAAGGTCTAATTGGAGTAACTATTATCATTGTAAAAATAATTGTCAGAGCACGGATCACGAATGAATATCTTAACTAAACTAATAAAGTGGAAAATTCATATATATCAATGGCTGTGTATTCATTGTTCTTTTGCCCTCAGTTTATAGATGAAGAAATACAGAGAGGCGACGACGATTCTACAATATCCGAATTTGTTTTTGTTGGCGGATCGCCACTCTTGTATTATCTCTTAAATAATTACTTGAAGTGGATTTAGATATTCACTATCTGCTGGGTTAAGCTATCAACATAATCTCCTAAAGCTTTGCAATGTGACACAACAGAATAAAATACACGTCAGATAGGCTGTAAGTTCTAAGACATTTGCCTAACTTAAATCATAATGGATGTAGTCATAAGACGTTGCCACTCTTATAACTGTGCATCTAACTTGTAATCATGTCTGTCTGTCTATTCCACGGAGCTCAGTTACGACTAAAAAGATATTTCATATAAGTGTGACAACGCTGCACTGTATGTATAAATCGTGTCAGTTTATGACCGTCTTGTCGGTCAAAACATTGCGGTAAAGTTTATTTATTTATTTTATTTATTTATTTTATTCGGAATACCATTAGCTTTTATACATTTCGTTTATTACAACATTTTAAATACACAGATATTAAAAGGCATTCGCATATAACAGTTAAAATGTATAAAATATACCGGGTGTTTGTGAAACGCTCCCGAAAACGAAGATAGATGATAGTACTAAGGATCCCTTTGATCATGGGTCACAAATAAATTCGATCCTGATGAAAAAAAAATCATGTTTTTACAACGTTTTATTAGCTTTATTCACGCGTTATCTTGTTAGTACAGCTAACTGAAACGATAATGTCATAAAAAAATCATGAAAATACTTAAACATAAAACCAGCAGTGGAATTACTGAATTACAATCAGCTGACTAGGAGTCAATGTACGCGCGAACGCCGAATTCGCCCGGTCCGCAGCTAGCGGATGGTACCACAATACCTAATAATTTACAACACTAGTCTAAATTTTGCCACTGTGCTTGTCTCTACCTAGCCACTTTATTGACAGGTTTAATAAACCAAATACCTGGTTCGATTCACCGTTAATAAAAAATTACTGATATGAAATGTTAACAAGGTTAGTAATGCTTTTTATCTATCGTAAAGGTATATGTTTATTATTCTGATGTATTCAGTTATGTACCTATTGAGATGAGTTCAGTACTAAGTTATTTAAAAAAAAAAGGTATGAAATAGCTTACCGATCTAAATCCTATGAGATTATCCAAGGCACATTAACATTTTGCCGTATTCACGAGCACTATAAACGTACCTACACATTAAGCTTATATAGTATAGTTGTAACACGAATGGGTCGGCTCGACCGGGGAAGGACCACGCTCTCACAGAATACCAGCGTAAAATAGCAGCTTAACGCTGCGGTGTTTCGTATGGTGAGTGTAGAGAACCGGAGACCCTTTTAACTGGAAACGAGGCATTCCATCTGTCCTCACGGGTGACAACGCATCTGCAATTTGATTTGTAATCGAGGATAAATATAGATGTCTATGGGCCACAGCAACCACTATTCCTGGCTACCACACAACCACAAACGAGCACACAGTCCACCTGATGGTAAGTGACCATCAGGTGGACTGTGTGCTCGTTTGTCACCTTTATCCTATAAAAAAAACGAGGCAGTCGTCCTTGAAGCACTGAGCTCTTCCACAGACCGTAAAACCCATACGACATTGCCAATGTTTATTTTATTTATAAGTTTAGTTATCTCTACGACTAGTCTTCATATGGAATTTAGAAGTTATGGTTGCCATTTTTAATACAATTACACAATCAATTGTAGCCTGACGCAACAAGCAGTTCTTTACTGCAAAAATTATATTGAAATTAATAAACGTACCTAATTGGGTACTCAGTACTCACTTACACAATTATAAACACTATTTCATCCTTATCTTTTATTTTGTATAAGAAAATAGAAATGAAATGGTACTGAATAATTTATTAGTTAAGATCAATTGCAATTATGATCGACAGTTAATTAATCTATCAGAATTAATGTAAAAAATAATACTTTTACTTTATTTTAATTGACTTTCTGTATTTAACGCGACCAATACTTTGAATTTAAAAAGAGGTATGTCAAAATTATTAAAAATTACATGCAAGTTATATAGTGATTGCCGCCTCTAATTCTTATGTCGCCGGCAAACTAAAGGACATTGCTCTGCGCCCATACATTGTTCGCCCTGGAACCAAGAGCATCGGAAAATTATGTGTTTTATTGTCGATAATTAGTAAATTCCTATATGATCTTATTTTTATAGCGGACTAGCTGCATAATAGATATATTTCAAAAAAAGTATCAGATTTTGAGATTATAATCGAACCACGAATATTACGGTATTTCATAGCTCCGAGTGATTTTTAACAAAGTGAAAAACGATGTCCTAAAACATTTAGCTGTTTTTAGTGCCTACCTAGATAATTAGGTATGCGGTTTTTGTTCTAAAGCATAAGTGTATGTAAGTGCAACGTATAAATGCATAGAATCTAGTTAACAAACCTGTTTTCTTAGCGTTGGTTTTGAAATGAGAGATAATGTTTGTGAATTAATGTAAAATTAAAAATGTATGTATATATATAATGGCTGTTGGCATTTGATGTTGTCATTAGCATATATGGTACGGTAAGAAACCTAGTCCCTAATATGTATAAGGACTTAGGCTGGTTTTAGTCACACCGCTAGACATGCCGTCGTACAGCGAGCCAACCACGGATTCAACCAAGTTTCAACAGCGCGCGCTTGAACAGCGTGAATATTATCGACTACTATTTAGTGCATTTGCAAGCGTGTGCGTCTGGACAGCGCTGTTCAAACGTGTGACTATGAAACCAGCCTTACCAACTTAGTACCTAATTGGTAGTATAAGTTGTTTTTACACCTACATTATCTTATTATGTTAAAATTAGAAATAAAACACAGATCAATTACATGTTTATTGTTCATCTTCTAAATTGGAAATTAAAATATAGTCTAAAAATTGTGCAGGGATGTCAATATTATTTTGATGTCTCGTAAAGCTCAAGTACCAAATAATGGTCATAACATGGGAGCAGCAACCGATGGTTCTGCGTACAGCAATATTGCATGCACGATTTCTTCTTTATTCATCTTTCAACAACATTGAACCACCAACAGAGTCGCAATTTACACAAAATACACTTTCCATAGCATATGCGTAAGTCCGTTTATGAATTGCTAGGTTATCGTTTGAGCGGTATACAGTTCCAAAAATCACAACAAAAAAGTAAGTCGTTCTTGAAAGCGATCAGAGTCCGTTAAATAGCCAAGTCATAATTTTCAATATATAGTCCCGAAAGTAACCAAAACACCGATACAATTGCAAAGAGCAAACGACGCCAACCAATGTAATTTTGACAGAGTGAGAGATGACAGTGGCAGTACAAAGTAGGTATGACGATTTGAAATCGTTTAATCGATTGTTTATAGTAAAATGATCGAGTTTCTATATATAGATTTAGATATTTATATATAGATCTGAAAAATCCTTGTCCGATGTCCTGATATCGACGTAGAACACTCCATCGATTAAATGAATCGATCCAAAACCTCTCGAATCGGATTTAATCAAAATCTAGATATATTTCAAACAATTCAAGAAATACTTTTGCATAGTTGAAACATCTGTTCCTTGGGACAGACAGAAACACTGTTCCTTGTGTACCTTGTTCTGTTCTAGATTCGATCCCAGGGTAGGGCAAATTATTATTGGGTTTTTATAACTTGAAGTTCCCAGTAGTAGCACGGAGTCTTGATTTGTGCCCAGTGTTTAGCAATACGCGCATCCCCTATTACATGGGACGTATAACATAACAGTACTACACACCTCTACCTACTCTTTCTGGTAAATACAAGCGAAATGTTATATTTATTAATTTAATTATGTTTCTATACAATTACTTATATTTACGGTAAATTATCGTCAATAATGTTCTGTGTCTATATTAGGCATGTTTGAAAATGTCGCGACTGATCGAAAATAGATCTGTTAATGCTTGATTTAATCGAGAATCGATTCTAGTATGTTCGATTTGAATCGATTTGGAGATCGTATTTTTTTTCATGCCAGACTGACAAGTGATCATTTAGTGACATAAAAATATGAGCGCCAAATACAATACGATTTATGAATATACAATAAGATTTATTATAGCCATATGTTACAAACAGTATTACATACATCATCTTTTGTCATACGATAATATTACCAAATATGACAATATTCTACTTTACTTATAATAACACGTACGTCTCTACTTCTTCCATACTTCTAACAATATTAATAATAACATCTGTATCTAGTTTGCAATATTGCTCTTTTTAAAGAACACATTTATAATTAATGCAGTAACGATAAGTTTTTTTTTATATTATGTGTCGTAAACTCGTAAGTTATCGTTTAGTAAGACGTAAAATACACTCCTTTCTAAACGAGCATTAGAAAATCATTAATAATTATATTTACGAATATTTTTCTTCAGCATTATTCTAACTACCTATTCAAAATCGACTATGACCTCATTCATTAGGTATAGTAGGTTTTTTAACTTATACTTGTAGGGAATAATATAAAAAATATAAAGGAATGGTAATTTAATATATTTATTGTAGTTTATTTTTGCAATTTTATTCGCAATAAATTCAAAATGTAATTCAGATTAAAAAATATGAAACTAATAATTCAAAAATCGATTACAATCAATTGGGCATCCCTAATCATTTTTTGACACTACATAATGTTTGACGAAGATGGCGGCGATTAATGTTATTAGTCGAATAGAATACTTTTTAATGTTAATTTTTGCACGCAGCTAGTCCGTGTTATAAAAATATTTGCAACTAA